AGTGAGTTCTCAACCTGTAGTTAGCAGTTTTACCTAGTTTAGCTAGTATAGTAGGTTAGTGAATCAAAACTTAATCTAACTTGCTAGATAATTAACTGAAGGTGAGTAATTGTGACTCTAGAGACCCTTGGATTCGATATTTATTACTTGTGCCACTATACTGCAGTCCCTTTTATTGGTTACACTTGGTCATTGTTTGGTGTTTTGTTTTAGCGAGTCACATACGCACACTTGAAAGTCCTCTAATGTTTTGTACTCAAGCTCATTAATCTTCTTTAGCAACGTCGTTGTCATTTTACAGGCTATCCTAAGCGCCATTTGTGGTCTCTTCAAATCCAAAGCTGGTGGAGCTTCTTTCTACTTGTCTCCCTATGAGGTCCTCATCATAATGATGATATGTTGCGTGCAAGGAATCCTCAAATAGAGATCTCGATTTCATCTTGATCTCTATCTCCGTCTTCTTCTCTTCTTTCTCCTTGAAATCATCATCATCGATAGGTCGGATATCCTTCTTGTATCCAATAGGCCTCACTAATCAATGTATGATCTCTCCTACTTGTAGTGTGATCTCTCCTTCCACCGCATTGATCAGGTCACTGGAAGTTTCCAGAAATGGACTACCAAAAATCGAGGTATATGAGGTCTCTATCTCCATCTTGATCACTACGTAGTCGAGAAAGAAGATGAATGGCCCGATTTGAGTGCTTAGTCCTTGAACTACTCCAAGAGGTTGACATGGAGTGTTGTCTACTAACTAGATCCATTTGTATCTCCTCCTTATCGGCTAGACCCATATCTTTAAAGAGTGGAAGTGGTAGGATGTTGATACTAGAACCAAGATCCACCAATCATGCTCTAGATAATGGTCATCTAGGAGACAATAAATTGTGCAATGACGAGGATCCTCCTTCTCTTCGTATATTCGAATGAGTCTTTGATGTCTAATAGGAGTTGAGTTGATGCTGGTCTTCCTAATTCTCTCATTCTCCAGAAGTTGCTCGAGCTTCTCCTTTAGGCTTTCCATAGCAACAATGATCTCCAAAAATGGCATGATAGTCTCCTCATTCCAAAGATGCTTCTTCAAAGATGGCCATCTCTCTTTTCCAAAAGTGGTACATTACACTCTCTTCTGCACCATTAAAGGGTATCGAGATGCTTCTTCAAATATGGCCATCTCATTCGCCAAGGTTGTATCATTGTCTTTGTCCTCCTTCGTTCCATGGGACTTCTACATTGCATGGGCTTGAGCAAGTACGAATGAATTTTGGGGTAATTTTCATGCCCTGCGCCCGTGAAGATTTGCCTTGGACCGTGAAACTTGACTATTCCAGCAATTGGTCTCGTTTATTTTATAGTGATAAAACAAAAGAAATTAGTTTTCTAAATGAAAAATATAGATAATAGGTAGACTAATGGAGTCTGATTAGTTGAAAGATAAAGTATTGCACATACCTAAAGTATCATTGGGTAAAAATATGAGTTAAAATAATTCAAAACAGGAGATATTGAGACATAAAAATTGTACGAGTCAAGAACATGGCAGTACGGAGTGGGGCAAGTTAAATGTAGTACCCATACCCAACCTCACACTACTGCGGGTGGAATATTACCCCAACACTATTCGGGTTGAGTAATACCCGACAAAGCGAGTTCAAATTGCAATCACTATTTGCCCATTATTGAGTCTTTCCTATCATATAAGCAATTTCATATGCTGGACACACAATTACGTTATTCTCCATGAGATTTGGAGTTGTTTTTGTCAAGATGATGGGTACATTTGAGAGGAGCGGCAGGAATCATTTGATTATGAGAGAACTTTCCAAAAAAAAAATTATGAGAGAAAGGATGTTTGGACCCGACCCAACAATGTTGTCAGAACCGAAACTGAGCATGACCCGATAATGCGAATGGCAAACACTTTAGTGGTTCAATCGGCAATAGATCGTTTAAAAACCGTTAGAGAACCGGTACCTAATAAACGTTATCAGTATAAATAGTGGACATTTCTTAATCAGAGCTCATTTCTTTCCTTCGAGATTGTGAAATGAAAATAAAGATTCAGTTTGAGAGCCCGACGTTTTTGGTTATTTTCAATTTTCTGTAATTTTTTTAATTAAATTTAACGGCTGAATGGCAAATACCGAACGTGCGGCTCAATCGGCTCGAGCAATTAACTGCCTCGACCGCTCGCCAACCGCTACATAAAACTGGAGAAGCTTTTAGACTGTTCCAAACCGATTTTGTGATCGGGTGGCGGTTTTACCGGTCGGGCCAAGCGGCTCTTCTTTAATAACACTGCGACCCAGTATTGATGGTATCTAGGGCTGGAAGTTTGGTACCGGTATTTGGGATATACCGAATACCGTACCGAATTTGTCTATATTTGGTATTACCGAATACACGTATTATTTTGTGGGATTGGGATTGGGATTGAATTTCAATTGTTATTTGGTATTAGGAATTACGGGATTGGGATCGGTATATACCGAAATACCGATCAATACCGAAATATAAGCTAGTGTGTATTTAATCCTCTCAACTAGACTCTCTCATTCACTACTACGCGACCATCAACCACCACATTCGTCATTTAATTATACATAGATTATTACATCACTATTTCACACTAGTATTAGTCGTCTCTCAACCTCAAATTCGTCAAATTAAAGATTACCAATTACAAGAATTTGAGATGTTAGCTCTAGGCAACTCAAGACTATTTGCTTAGTCTCTTTGCCCTAAATTAAACAATAAAATCTAATTTATATATTTAATTATTAATTGTAAAGGTAATTAATTATGTATTCGATAATACCGATTGGGATACCGAGGTACCGATTGGGATACCGAAATTATTTAGGGATTGGGATTGGGATACCGAAATTATTTAGGGATTGGGATTGGGATTGATTTTAGGGTGTAATTCGGGATTTCGGTATTTGGTATTGGGATACCGATACCGTACCGATTTCCATGGTATCAATTGTCTTTTTCCTTTCCTTTGTTTTTGGGCAAATGTCGACCCATCATTTAAACAATGAGGTTATGGCCCATAACATTGTAGATATCCATCACCACTGCGGCACTGCCACAGAACAAAACAAACTTTTGGGCCACTTCCCTTCCCCATCCAACCCCCATTCCTTGTTCACTTTGGGATCTGTGCCCAACCAGTTTCCCTTTTGAATTATTGACGTTGTTCAGAATCAGATGAATGCAGACAAGTTCTCATTTAAAAACTAGTAGGACATACACTCATCATCACTCTCCATGCAGCAGAAGGGGATATTTAAAATTGCTGTTACATGAATTTGAAGAGCCAATGGACTAGGAGGCTAGGAGTGTTATTGATGATGCTGTTGTTGTGTAGTCAAGTCATAAATTAAATTACTTGGGTCCATCCCCCTACTCAATGAATGATTTCAAAAGTTAATGCTTTTGGTTCTAAGTGCAGTTTTGATCAATCCTGAGTCAGCAAAATGGCCCATTTGTACCAATCAGGTGTTACAGATTTCACTTGGGTGGTGAAAAAAGTTTAACGCTCTGTTTGGCAACAAGGGGGTGCAAATTGCAGGAGGGTGCAAATTGAGAGGTAAATTGCTGGGGGTGCAAATTGCTGGGGGGTGTAAGTGGAGGGGTAAATTGTTGTTTGGATGAAATAGTAGGGGGGTGCAAATAGAGTGAAAAGTAAGTAATTATATTATTTTAAAATAGATTTTAAAAATAGATTTTAGATTACAAAATAGATTTTAAAATTTTAAAATATTATCATAAAATAATAAAATAAATATTACTATATAATAATAAATATACTTTACTAAAAATAGTTATTATATAATAATGCTCAAATAATAATTAATTATGACAATTGTATAATCATTGATCGAGCGATCTCAAAACTCGAAGCTCAACTTGTAACTGGTCATCCTATATAGGGTTTTCGTGTCTAGTTTAATCTTAAATTGTCAAACTTAGTCAAACACGTTCGAATTTGTAAGTTTTAACTATTTAGTCAAATAAACTGAGTTAACCAAACAATTTCTCTCTATCTTTTCCACAAACACCTCGTATCTCTAATTTTCAATGCAAATTCGATTCAACCAAGAGATCTAGATTTGACTTGACGAACATTGATAAACTTGTTTCCAGAGTCAAATGGTCAACCTCGAATAGTGTTTACATTAATGATATTTATAAAAAGAAGAAATTGATAATATTAATTATTATATAATTATATATAACACAATTAGAAAAACAAAATTTCATAATTCCCCCCTCCCCCTCTCTTCCTTCCTTCCCTTGCACCCCAATCTGGGGGGTAAGCCGAAACAGTAAATTTGCACTCCCGTTTTGCACCCCCTACTGTTCCAAATTAACCAAACAGATGCAAATGTGTTGGAAACTGTATTTACCCCTCACATTTGCACCCTCCTCCCATTTACCCCTCTTCCCAAACAGAGTGTAAAAGGAGTACATTGGTGGGTCGTTTCTCAAGTTGAAGAACAGATCAATTTTGGACAGAAGCCCTCCTCCAATTAGAGCTGCTTCCTTTCCTTGTGCCTGCTGTTGGTTGTGGTGGGACAATGAAGCTATGAGATGGTATGGGACCATTTGATTCTCACCCCACAAGAAGCGAAGCAAAGTTTTAGAAGAACCTTGAACCCACAAAGCTCCAAATGGCGAAAAGAATCTTAAACAGAAGAGAAGAAATACCCCTCTCTATTATTATGCTGCAGTTCATCAGTGAACCACTTCTGATTGGCTTTTCACAACCACTAATACTGAACTCACAACAAAAGGCAATCACATCCATGGTTTTCCTTCCAGCCTTTTGTGAAGGACTTGAGAGCTGGCCTGCACACAGTGGCACTGAATTGAACACCACAGAGTAAAATCCTCAAAAATGTCCAGTTGTCCACACAATTGCAGGGAGAGGAGGGACCCCTTTCAATTCTTCATTTCAAGTTTAGCTTTTGTTTGAATGCAAATAGACATGCCAGCCCAGCAGAAGGAAAGGACAACTGAGCTTCATATTAATAATAATTAGACCCTAACACAGCATATATTACATGATCTGATCAAAAAGCCCAAAATCAAGACAACTGAGAACATCAAAACATGGAGCACATGTTTCACCCTTCCTTAATATGTGACGATAGATCCAATTTTCTCCCCCCTTCCCCTCTCGGCCACAAGCTTCTTCCACCCAGTGCTTTTTTACAGTGGCATGATCAAATTCCTTCATTTCATTTCATTTCATTCAGTTACTACTACTAATGACGGTGGTGCTGGCACTCCTCAGGTGTCACAGGGAACCTAGAATTATCACTGCAGTAGTCATAGACCATGTGGTTGGCCTTAACCCAGAGCAGCTCATGGCTCTGGTGAAGGTTGAGCTCAGACAATGCTGGTTCATCCCACCAGTATTTGTTCTCGGCACTGCTGGTGCACTTCTTGGTCAAATCAGCTGCTGAGACTGATGAAGCAGGGCTCTCGCATGCATCAATTTGGAAACCTTTGTAGGATGCAATGAATGGGGCATGGCTCCAGTCGGTTTTGATCCGACCGCCTTGAGTCGCCCAATCGTCAGCGTTCCAGATCGAGCTGTAGACTCCCATTGGCTGGTCTTTGGGGAATGGGATTCCCTTGTGCTCCAAGTTTGAGTGCTGCCTCACCACAGTGTCATCCACTAGAAATCTGTAAGGTGAGAAAAACACCATCAGTATAGAGGATTAGAGGGAAGCTTTCTTTCATCACACAAGATGCAAACTTTGCTGATCAAAATTTGGGCATTCAATCTGACAAACAAACACCCTTTTGAAAAGGTCACATCAAGGAAAAAAGAGGGAAGCTTTCTTTCATCACCACCTCATTTCACGAGTCGTTCTGACTTCAAAGTTAAAAGACAACGTTATCAAGAACAGATATGGCCCCCATCATCATGATTTCATTCATACTATAATACATATATGCTTATTACAAGTACCAATAATTGCAACAAAAGAGAACCAACGGGACCCCATATTTGGCATAATAATATCATCCCAAGATCCGATTTAAGTAATGCCTTTTCTTTCTTTCTTAATGGCTTTGTTTTTGGTTTTATTCTTTGAAGGACACTGAGTCTCACATGACTTCAGTGAATATACAACACTTGGTAGATAGATTCATCCAATCTCACTGCCATTTGTTAATTGAAACTTTGCACACACATATACCCATAAGACTGATGATGGGCTACTTACATAACCTGGCGCGGGTTCCAAAAGATGGAGTAGTTGTGGAAATCCTTGGTGGGATCAAACCAAAGGTTCATCCTTTGCTCCCTATTGCCAACACCATTGACATAGACATTAGTCTGGATGAGGTAGGGTTCCCCTGTGGTGTTGCCCAGAAACTCGAAATCGAACTCATTGTGATTAGGACCCTCTGATGACATCTGCAAACAACAACAAAGAAAAGATTGCAACTTTAGAGCAATACCCACCAAAGATTTCACCATCAAAGCATCTAATGTGGCCAATAATTGAAACCCAAAACGATCGTTGTCGATAATACGAGGGTGAATTGACAGATGCATATAATCAGAGGCCGCTTTTGGTTTAGCATTGTAAAGCGACGTAATAAATTGCAGTAGGTTGTTGGTGGCTAGTTTAGCTAACAAAAACCATGAATGCACAAGAGTCCAAAATCATTTGACTCTTCAGGGACCCAGACCATAAATCCAAGTACAGCTAAGGTGAAATCAATTTCAATTCCAATTCCAATTCCTTATTATTTCATCACACGGAGAGACAAAATCATCATTCACGGGTTTTCCCCCCTCCCAATGGTCCTCCACCTTTTGGAAAAGAACAAAAGAAAACAAAACAAAAACAGGGGACCTCTGTGTTTCTTTGGATGTGTTAAGTTTTACTTACATAGAAGGCAGTAACAGTCCCAGCAGAGTCTCCCTCCACAAGCTTAATCTGTATATTCACCTTCCCAAACAGATACTTGCTCTTGGACTGAAACCCAGATCCTGAAAAACAGCAAAGAACGAGATATGCAAAGGATCAGCATGATAGCACCAGAACCAGACGGAAACGGATGGAACCCAGTGAGGAAAAGTAGTAAAGATAGAAAACATTTGGATCATAATAATAGACAATGTGAGAGATTTAAAGGTTTACCAGAAGAGTTGTCAAGTTTCAGCTTCAGCTGCTCTCCTTCATAGATGAAGTGATCGAAAGCCCAGCTTGGCTGGAACAGGTCGTCAAATTTCGCGGAGGTAACCAAACCCACCATCACAAAACCCATGAAAATCCCCATCAGAAGAGTCATTCTGCTCATCGAGACCGCCATTGGAACCAGGAAAAAGAACTACCTTAGGCTTGTGGAAGAAGAAGAAGAGCAGAGCAAGGGAGAGAGAGAGTGAGTGAGTGAGTGAGTGAGAGTGCTCCGAATAGTGAGTGAGAAGCAATTCAACTTGAGATCCCTTTTATAGCCTCAAAGAAGGCCCTGTTGGCTGGCTTCCGGGGTAAGGGATGACACGTCATATCATTTCACCACCTCACCCGCCATGTCAGATAAATTCAATTTACATTTATTATCTAAGAGTAAAAAAAGAAAGAAAAACCAAAGGGAAGAAAAGAAATGTAGCCGTTACAGTGTCTGTGCGCACACTGGCCACTGCCCTGCAACCTTTATCGTCCTCTCTTAGCTGTCCGCCTGTCCCAAAGCTGGGTGAGGGGTATTGGGGTAATATGGGTACGGCATGTCTCCTATTCAAAAGGAGCGCCCTGGATCTTGTCCAATCGCTTTCCGACACGGTGGAGGATACAGCTGTTCTCACTTACCTGTCCAGTTTTCACTGCGGGTAGAATGAATGTTCAAAGAGGTTGACGCAAAACCATTCGCGGGGGGAGGCGAAGGAAGATAACGCGCTCTTTATGGGGGGATTCAGACTTTTATTATTTCTTTCTTTCTGGGATGTTGATTGGCTTTAGGTGATGATGGCAGCTGCCAGCTGGACAGTACCTAATTTTTTAGCCCATTTTTGTGTAATTGCTAGTTACCCTACGGCCTGCGCCCTCTGCTCGACTTGAGTACACACAACACAAGTACACTAGTACTGACTGACTCGCTACACTATGGGTTGGGTATGGTTTCTCTAAACTCACACCTATTAAAATTTTTAAGGGTGGGTCGGATGAGAAATGCTAATCAATCAATTCGATTGAATTGTTTTGTTTTGTTTTGAAATAGTTTAGCTAAATTGATTCGTTTTGTAGTACAAAATTTGGATGAAACAATTCAATATCAGGAAATTTAAATTGACTCGTTTTGAGGCAATTACAATCGTTTGGAGTGAGGACGGACAATTGTAATTGTCTAGTTTAAATTACTCATTTTGTAAAATGAGACAGTGGACTAAATTGTCTCGTTTTTCAATTGATTCGTCCAAACGACTCCTCGGTAAATTATCTATTAGGTTTGTATGGGTTGGGTGGAAAGTGGGTTAGTTTTTTACAAAATCCAAACCCAACCCTCCAGTTTCAAAAGCGGTAAAACCCGCACCCAACTCAAAATCCGTCAATACAAGATTGTATTGTACCCGCTTTAACATGGTTGAATCCGATTTTTGACACCTGTAAGTTTGGGGTTCAGTCTAACTACACAACTAGTACAATATCACATACCCCACTTCTCTAGGGTTTTCAAAAGTTCTTTCCTCTTTAGAGCATAAACAAAGAGCAGTGCTCATTTAATTGACAGTACTCATTATCGGCTTAAAAAATCAATTGACAGTAGCATTATTGTCTTATATTACCTCTGATTAATGTTCTTTGTGGTTTCGAAGTTCATTGCAGGAAGCTTAATTTAAGTAGGGAAAGCAAAGCAAGTGGGCAGTGGAAGGGAATCCAAGACTGGGCAAGTGGGTTAGATTGCAGTTTCAGGTAATAAAATTATAAACAAGTGAAAGTTGGCAATGATGGGGGCTGGCTATCTATGGATAGGCAATAAATGTCGTCATGTCCAGTCTCCTTTTGTATTATAAAATTAGCGGTTCAGATGGGTGACTAGAAAGATTTGTGAACAGTTCATCAACAAAAGATTAAACTAGGATTAGGAATGTTCTTGCTGGGAAGTTTATTATATTACAGGTTCACATAATTTGGTCCGTGTAAGAGATATATGCTGCTATATTTTGCAAGTCCCTTCCCTAAGTCCTTGCTCATTACATGTTCCTTGTTTCTCACGCAAGATTTTATATTGTGAATTGAATACTTGGACATAATAAAAAAAAACCCAAGGAGTTGGTTAATTCTTTAAATATTGTTTTTTTTATTTGACCTATGGCGGTTTAAAAACAATTGACACAAATATTGTGTTTTTTAGGGAGAAAACAGTGAGTAGAAGTTAATTGAATTTTTTTGAACCAATTCGAGCGGATCCGTCCGACTGGGGCGTTGGCACCTTTTTTTTTTTTTGGTTTTTGAATGTCGATTTCGTTGACCAGCGGAGGCGCACGAGACCGAGGCGGGTTCGCAGCCTCACCCACCCACTCCAGCACCATATAACCAGCGATTTTCCTTTCAGTTATTCACCACCAAAAAAATAGACGAAGTTAGACGAGAGAAGCTCTGGTTGCTGCAAAGATGGCTAATAGGTATGAGACACATTTATTTCTTTTAATTATGTTCTTCAAATGATGTTATGATTTTGCCAGATCAAGACCACATCAACATCGATCCCTCTTGGTGGATGCGATGGTGGTCAATCAATGTTATCTTATCTGGTTTGGGGCAATGAGATAAGAGAAGAAGCGAAGGAGAGGTCTCGAGTATGGACACTTCATCTGCATCAAGTGCACGAACCATCTGCATCACTTGCTACACCACATGCTCGTGACTTGAGACTCCACCGCATTAATGAGAACCTCAATTTCAAAGAGGTTTTTGGGTGGACCGAGACTTAGGAGCCACCGTCCGGCTCACGACGGTAAAGAAGCGCTTGTGGGGAGGCAACCCCACCAAGGTTTGCTTTTCTTTCGTTTGTTTTTGGTTTGTCCACTTGGAACTATGGTTTCTATCACCCAGTATTTTTTGATGACTCTAGCCCTGCTGACTAGTCCCATTTCCAGTCCCCCGGCAGTCTGTTTTCCCGGTAACATCGTTTCCCCTTATCTTTTCCTCTACTCCGTTGAGGGCAATGTCGTGCTTAAGTGTGTGGGGGTGTTTATCTATCTTTGACTGCTAGATGAGTTTGTGTGCTTGGAGCCTAGTCCACTGTCCAATTTGATGAATTGAGGGCTCCAAGTACTGTTCCCTGCAATACCCTGCTCAGTATGCTTTGAATTGACAGTCTTTATGGTGATATGTAACCTAGGGAGGTAGTTGTAGCACTACGGAGGATGTTGATGCATTTAAGAAGTCTCATTTCTTCTTCATATTGTGTTGGTTGATTGTGTGAATTAGTGATCTTAGGACCCTTGAATTGTGTGGTATTGTGGACTCTCTATCTATCATGGACTCCTTATCATGTTTTGAAAAAGAAAAAAGGTGCTCTAAATTGTGTTTTTAAAATAACGTCTCCCGTACGAAAAGGGTGAAAGGGTGTAAGGGGAGACGTGAATCCGTTCCCAATTTTCACCTACTACCATTAGCCCCCTTACATTTCTTTTTCCCGCACGAGGCTCAAGACATCTACTCCTGGCATGGCAGTAAGAGCCGGGCTCCCTCAAAACCTTTAATAGGTGGGAGCCTCGTTTTCTGGAAATAACAGGTTGAGACCCTTGAAAAAAAATTAAACAACAAAACAAAGAAAAAAGAAGGGTTCCAACCATCTTCAAGAAGAAAATAGAGCACCTTAAAAAAAAAAAAGTGAGTCCATGATCTTTCTGTTTTTGAGAGTCCCTTCGTCCATGATTCATTTGTCCTCTGATCACTATTTGCCATGATGCCGACTCGAGACTAGAGTTCTCGCCGAAGAAGCTAAGAGGTGTCTTGTGCGTCGGTTGACCTCGTAAGCTGTTAAATGATCTAGGAAATCCTCTATCGACGATCGGGGGTGCATGTTACTATAGAGGTCTGGAGAGCTGCATTGGTTTAAGTCAAGTTTGCTTGGGGACAAGCAAACGGTTATGTGTGGGGGGATTTGATGACTTGATATTTACACATGTTTTTGTCCACCATTCTTATACTGTTTGAGCCTCGTCTCTCGTGTTTTAGGCCGATTTCACGCTAGGTTGTTCTTGTTTGTGATATTTCAGGTCCTACTACGTGAAGGAAGGTTTCGGCACGATTTCGGGGTCAATTGGACGAAGTTGGGACGTTTGACGAAAAGATGAGGAAACCACACGTTCAGACCTAAATTCCACACGGCCGTGTGACTTGGCCGTGTGGAACCCCTTTTGCGCGGGCAAAGCCACACTAGCTGTGTAAGGGCCCATTTTGGTCGTGTGGGATTTTAAGAGAGTTCACACGGGCATACCTAAATTCCACACGGCCGTGTGGTTTTGGACGTGTAGCGTACCTGGAGTCACTAAATTGAACGCGACGTTTGGGAGATCCACACGGGCAGACCTAAATTTCACACAGCCGTGTGATCGGACAGAACTAGGTTTTTAACCCAATTTCGGTTCTTTTAAAGGGGGAATCGATTTTCAGAGCTAGAAACAGAGTCCTAGAGAGAAAGTGCGAAGAACACACCCTAGAGGTGATTTTGGAGGTGAGTTTCATCAATCAAGCTTGGATTTCATCATTGGAGTGAAGATTATCATCCCAGAGCATATTCTTCCCATCTTGATGAGTATGACTGCTTTGTTTTCTGTTTCCCTCTCTCTCTCTCTCTCTCTCTCTCTATGGAGTAGAACCCTCTCTCACTTGGGTATGAAGAACCCTAGTTTCATGTGTTAGGGATATCGATTGTAATGACGTTTGGATTGTGATACTGCTTGATTATAATCGATTGAAGTGTTTTGATTGAGTCAATTGAAGCATGATCATCTTTTATTGATTTCTGCTGCAGCCTGAGATAGATAGAATCTGATTAGGTTGTTAGAGCTCCTTCAATCGGTAATAGTGAATCGATTATACGAGAGTTAGTCGATTCACTGCTTTGTACTGGAATCCAATTCCAGTAGTGGAGTTCTGTTTTAATTGCCTCAACGTTTTATCCCGATGTGGACTAGTCGTCTGCCGAGTGACTCTTCCCCTACTTAAGAACTTCGAACCATCTCCTGCTTTCTTACTGCTTTAGTTTAAAATCACATTCACTCAACTTAGTCTGCTAGATAATAGATAATCACGGAGTAGGCAGCAGATCTAGACCCCGGGTTGATAAATAGAACTTGCCACTATTCTGCATTTCCGGACTACAATTACACTTGGTCGCAGTTGGTGTTGTGTTTTAGATTGTCAGAAGGAGAAACAGTGGTGGTTTTTGGAGAAGAAGGATGATGATAAGATTTGAGTGGCGGGGGACAAAAAGTAAAAAAGGGGGGAGAGCGCCACCGCCTCAGACTCCGGATAAGTCTCTAAGAAGGCACTAATCTTGTCGCGTGGATAGAGACTAAGTCTGGTAGACCGCGTTCGCCGCGAGTCATCTAGATGGCCTTTGTCACAAGTCTAGTAAACCGTGTTTGTCGTGAGTCCGCTAGAAGGCCTTCTTCACTAGTATGCTAGACCGCGTTCACCGCGAGTTCGCTAGACGACCTTTGTCGCGAGTTACGTTCGTC